ATTCAAGGCTAATTATCTCGGAAAAATGCGCGGCTACCCTATTTTTTCTTTGTGGATTCCGATAGACCTTGCAAAGACCTACTTTTTCCGCAAGGTCCTAACCTTGCGCAAAAACCTTTGTATTTAGTAAGCACCGTCCTTAAATTCAAAACCAAAAAGACGAATACTCACAAGAGATCCCTGAAGTTATTCAAAAACTTTTGCAGCTCTTCAGATTGTGTCAAGTTGGATTTCTTGCTGCTGGCTTTCTCCTGCAGGCGACGCCATGATGACACGACCTCGTCCCTTTGTTCCCCCAGATGTTCCTGTCGCTCAGGGAACCTTGAGGCGAGGTCCTCTGCTTCACGCGCGATTGACTCCACCTTTTCGCCAAGAGCCTTGAGATCCAGCTGAAGAAAACCAAATGTGACGATTTTGTTGTAAATGTCACGCTAGTGTTACTCTAAAATCACGCCATGTTAATGAAGCCATGTCACGCAATGTTTACTTCTTTTATCATTACTGCCAACTTAAGGATAACTATCATTCTGGGAAAAACTCACGACAGATGACGGAACATAACAAAGCAGATTTTTATACAAATGCTCAACCATTTTTCCAACCATCTTCAACCATTTTTCGATTAGGTTTTCAGTTTTTTTCTTGTACTTTATACAGTGTGTATATGGCGCAGCAACGCAAACTATGACGTTTCATCAAAACAATGTAAATGAAATGAAATTCAAAATATTAACATTTCCAGACCTGAAAGCCTTGATGCTTCCTTTGTAAGGCCTGGACACTACTCAGGTCACGTGCCCCATCGTCACTGAACATCAGAGCTGCTTCTTTCTCTTGGATCCAGGCCCTAGTTTCTTCAACATTCCGATTGAAGGCGTGGATCTCTCTGGCTCGGTCTAGTGCCTCTAGCCGTGAGTTGGTTCTCTCCTTCAGCGTGTCCCACATGGTGCAGACCTCGTCCATACGATTCTCTATTGCCTGTTGCAACAAAAACACAGCTCTTAAAACAAACACCTCTGTTTTGTTCAATTTTTTAAAAAAGCATTCAAATATTGTTGTTTATAGAGGTCAATGCGTTTAGCTACATGTACACCTAGCTAGTTCATAGGCAATTAGCAAAAAACTGAAAAACAAAACAAAGATATCCAATGAACAAAATAGGCTTAAAAATTCCAGCTGGCGGGAGGCCAACCAGTTGGCTATTTACAAGCATAAGTGAGGAGTTGAACGAGGGTCTACCGAGAAATAACTCCAGCTTAGTGGTCAGAGCGGGACTTAAGACAGACAGGTAAATAGACAGCCAGCCAGCCAGCCAGCCACCCAACCAACCAACCAACCAGAGAAACAGAGAGACAGGCAGACAAACAGACAGACAGAGAGACAGACAGAGAAATTGACAAACTAAAAACTGATAACTTACATCTCCCTCGCTGTGACCTTCATCTAATAAGGTTTGCGCTTGCGCAGTAAGACTGGCAATCCTTTCCCCTGACATTACCAAGTCACGTGTGAAATCCTCAAACTTCTTCAGTAGAGTTTCCACGTGCTCGAGATCACGACCGTAGTCGTCGGAAGTGGCAATCGATTCCTTTTCGGCAATCCACGACTCGACTTCGTCGGCTTCTCGGAAAAAGTTAAACAGTTGGTTGGAATCGAGCAACCGCTGACGGCGATGAGAGGATTTCTCGCTTAGGTCGCCGAACCGAGTTTCCATCTCCGACTGACAAACAAATAAAGAAAGTACAAAGTCAAAACTGGTATCTTAGCTGTTAGTCAATCATTATGCGAGTGACTGAGAGCGAAAAGATTACTATGAGGTCACTCTGCCAAGTTGATGACTGAGTGCGAATGCAAATCGGAATGTTCGTTGTTTAGTGTTTTTTTTAGATGGAGCTCTTTAAAGTGGGCATGTCCAACTTGGTGTCAAATGCCTTTGCGCTAGAGTTAATTCAAATAATCTTACCGTTGGTGCATCACCCGGTGTCAGCCAAACTAGATCAAAAACTAAAGCGTGAAGATTGTAACTCAGTTATACGATATCAATAAAGGATGCTTAATTGACGAATCGAATGATACTTTTAAGCAACTATGCGACCTGTGTATCTATCAAGATTTCGACTTTGCCCGAAATGTCAGGTAATCCATTGTGTTATTGGTTTGAAGGCTTCATGACCTAAACTAATATATTGGAGATGATATATCATGCAGATAGATGTCAGTCTTTTTTTTATCATGATGTTAGTATCTAATCATGCAAGACATAAAATAACTTGCGTATCATTACTTGTCGTCGCAGAATCTTCTCCTTGTCGAAATTTCCAGCCGTTACCAGCGCATGGCATGTATTCTTGAGATCGCTGACCTTTGCCCTGTAACTGTCTAACTCTAATTCAAGAGTCTCGTGTTTACGCAACAGAGACTGGGCGCTAGTCTCGTCGCGGCCGTAGTCATCGCTAGAGACCCGAGGAAGCTTCTCTCGAATCCAGGTCTCCACCTCAGTAACCTCTGTGTAGAACTGGGGAATAAAGTCAACACCAACATTAACAAAGCGCAAAAGATAACGTTTACATCGCAGCCTCATAAAATTATTTGCAAGACATTTTCCATGTTGATTTCAAGTTTAAGAACGAAATGTTCGCAGTTCGTAAATGTTGAGATAACATTAAATCTGGGATTCGGAAGTAAAAGAAACGATATATAAAATGAGAAGTTATCCCTTGAGAGATTTGAGTGCATACAACATTCTTCCCCAGACAGTTTTTTTTGGTTACTTGTAGTTGTTTCTATTGTTTTACTTGTACCTTTTGTAATTTTGCTGTGAATTGTCATTACTTTATTTTTTATTTCTTTCCTTTTTAATCTAAACTCTTAAGAAAATTAAACAAAAGCTAAAGAAAATTACAGTTCAACAGGACAGTATGATAAGAGCCCGCAAGCGCATGCTCTCTGCAGGTCCTGCACAGTTTTCTTTCTAACCTGCTGCGCCTTCTGGGATTCCTGTAAGTTTTGCTGACGCGTTGCTGATAAACTCGTTAGCTCAGCCCATTTCTCCTGCAAGTCAGCACACCGAGCCTCGATTTCGTCCGCGGCATAATGCTCACGCTCAATTAACTGGTCAGCGGTCGACATGACGGTGTTAATCAGCTGCTCATGCGCTGTGATTTCTGCGTCCACTGCTTCTTGTTTCTTGATGAGATTTTGAACTCCTACAAGTAAAAAAGGTTTAAAAACAAGTTACGAACTCAACGTTTGAATGTTCGCGAAAATCTATATTTCATTTTGTCTCGTACCGAGGAGGGTGCGCCCAAGATCGTCAGACTTGACCAGCGGCTCCTTGTCTCGTATCCAAGCCAGCTCTTCCTCCACATTGGCGAGGTACCGCTGAAGTGCAAGCGAGTCTTGCAGTTTGTTTCTTCGTGCTTCAGCCGGCTCAGAAAGGCGCGTAAATCTGAAGCGAAACAAAACACTAAATGTGAAGATAATTCTCTAGTGTCTCTATTTCAGAAATATGCTGGAAGTCTTGGTATCCCGTATCTTGAAAAATGGTATCCTAACTTTTTCAAGTTTGCCGTTCGTAATCCCTCTCTGTCAATCCCCAGTTTAACCACACTTGTTCTTCTTCGGTGTTTTTACAACTTAAACTTCTTTGATTAAGTGCAAATTTAAAACGTGACAAAGCAAAACCTGGGGAGCTGTTTCACTTGTTTGGATAGAATTTTGATGCGCGTTACATTCACAGAAATAACCGAAAAAATTTCTTCAATGATCAGTACCAATTGCTCAAGACAAGACAGAGACGGACTCGAGTCAACTTCTCTAGAACTGACTGGTCCAGAAAAGGTCAGTGGAATTAAAAAGAGATACGGTAAACCGATATTTGACTATATTCCCGTAAACCGCATACTTATGTCTTTCGTGTTTAAGAAATGGACGCTCCATTCATCACCTTTCAGCAACGGCCTTCGCCCTGTCTTCAATTTCATCCTTCTGGAAATGATCAGCCTCTACGAACTCAGCCGCTTGAATCAAGATCTCGTTCACTCTCTCCTCGTGCGACGTTATGTCCGCCTCAAGCAGCTGATGCCGTTTGATCAGATTATTTGCGCTCTTTACATCCCGTCCGAAATCTTTGGACGCCAGAGTGTTTCCCACTTCCGTAATCCATGTTTCCAGGTCTCCAACATTCTTCTCAAACGTTTGTCTTTGAATGGCTTCCTTAAGCCGCTGACCTTTATTGCTCGACATATCACCCAGAAGTCTCCACAGGTCGTTGACATCTTTAAGTCTCGTTTCCACGGTTTCACGTGATCGGGGCGCGGACTCGAGCAGCGTCTGTCCGGCACGGAGAACATTGTCAAGCTGTCCCTTGTTCGCAGTTAGCTCGGCTTCGAATGTTTGATGTTTTTGCTGTTTCTGTAGCAGATTGGATGTCTCTCTGTACGAGGCTTCGGAAGCTGTTTGGAGTTTCTCGTTCATCCACGATTCAATCTGTGACGTGCAAAAAAAATTGAACTTAGATGCGGGACGTCTGTTCAAATGCAGATGAAATTAACCTCTTTTTATTGAATTTCTCCTGGAATTACAGAGCTCGAAAAAAAATTGAATTCGAACTTGCCCCTCAGACAAGTAACTCTCAAATTTCGCTTGCCCGAGGCAAGTGTTTTCTTGTTTTTTTTTTAATGACTTGATTGACAAATGACTTTTCTGGGCCTCTGTCGGACAAGTGGACATGAAAAGTAACTTGCTCCACAGGAAAATCTACTTGCCCCAGACGACTGGAGGGCACTTTTCGTGAGCCCTGGGCTACCTTCGAAATAAGACCTGCGCCACACAAATTGGATGCAGAAAAGTGACCACTCAATGCCTTTACCTCTTCAGCGTCCCTGAGAAACTGGAACAATTTCCTGGACTCGCCCAAGTCCCCAATCTTTGCAGTGGCCAACTTCTTTAGTCGTTTCCAGTTCTCCAAGACCTCCTCACACCTATTCCTGATCAAACTGGAGTCTATGTGTTCCTGCAGTATCAGCTGATCAGCGGTCTGCTGCAAAGCTTTGATCTTCTCCTCGTAAGCTGTGAGCGATTTTTCGAAATTGAGCTGATTTTTAAGAAGCGACTCTACCGTGTCCAGGCTATCACTGGATTCCTCTGCTTGCAGGAACGCTTGCTTTGTTGCTATCCACGCGTCGGCTTGATCCGCGTCTCGCAGAAACAGCTGAAAGAAAACACAGGAGAGTTGGAGGATTTAAAACAGTGAAGTCACACGTGGGGTCTCAAATAAATACTTGCAAGTGAAAAGAAGACTTAAGACGCAATTCCACAGTCAGAAGTACATTCGAAAGAAGTTTTATAAGACAGAAACAACGGATATACGATAGAGTTACTATTAATGTGCAATACATATAGAGTGCAGAAGCAAAACGGCATAATACATAGCCTGGGAACGCAGACGTACTTTGATAGCCGGAAATACGTCTGCGTTCGCAGGCTACATAATACAGATCACTTGAAGTAATAATTATATAGATAGAAAATAGTGATTATTTCTTCAACATCAAGGAACCATGTAGCCTCTTCCAGACTCTCGGTCAGTGGGGACGATCGAAAAAGCGGCCAGGCGACGAGCGGGATCAGCGACAAGCGGGATCAGCGACGAGCGGGATCAGCGACGAGCGGGATCAGCGACGAGCGGGATCAGCGACGAGCGGGGCAGTCGCCTTCCCGCTTTTTCGACCGTCTCCACTGACCGAGAGCCTGGAACAGGCTAGAAACTATGTTGCCGCTGAGGGAACATGTCGAAAAATTTAACTTAAATAACTAAAGGTCTGTAGCAGGCGGTAACAATCCGTCTCGGTTTTTCCATATTCTAACCACCTTTGTTCGTGTTTTTATTATCTGTTTGCTGCTTGTCTTCCTTTGTTTCCTTTGAGTCTCTTTCGCAGCTATTACTTGAAACGTGCCGCAACATTCCACGTCAATTGAACTGTTAGGTGACGAGTAGCCTGAAATGTCAGTAATCATCTCCCGCCCTTAACCTCTCTCGCCCGGGCCTTACGCTGAGAGCGAGAGATGACAAGCGATGACCCAAGCAGCGTAGAAGACTAGACATTTTCAATTGTGACTCACCTGCAGCTCATAAGACTGCGATAACTCAATCTGTTTTTCTTCCCAAGACTCCATCAGCTCGTCCCTGACTAGATTCATTTCCTCACAGTTCTCCTGAATCTCTTTTGCGGCGAAGTGACCCTGATCCACTAAACTGAGACCAAACGCATGCGCACTGTTGAACGACTCCATGCGGGCCTCGATCACACCCTAAGAAACGAAAAAGAGAATCATTGGGACTTGTGACTAACAAAGAGAAATCCGATTTTTTGTCTCAAATAATCTGCAAAAAGTTCATTTTTGAAATAATTACAATCTGAAAGCTTAAGATATCTTTCCAATGATATTGCAGAAGAAACGTTCAATTGAAGTGTATGGCTGTGCTTGAAATACATACAATGATGTATTCTTAAACAGTAGTCCAAGCCTTCAGAATTTACAAATATATGTATGGGAAAATTAAACAGGATTTCGAGACTTCTAACTTATCTTCAGCTCTTAAAGGTGAAAAATCTT